GCACAGCAACTCGGGCCCTGGGGGGCGCTGAGAGAACAAGCCCAGGCCTCGCCCCCGTCCAGAATTAGACTTCCCAGCGCCGTTTTCCTAGTCTTTCTTTGCCATTTTCCAAGCTGTAGATGACACGTTTTAGGGTCCCAGGCCTCGAGGGGCCACATCCAAACTTGAGGGAAAAGACGGCGGTGCTTTAGCCGGAGCCTGGCCCGGCAGCACACCAGCTGTGGGGGGCGGGGGCTCCCCATGCCGCCACGGGGGGAGGGGCGCTGGGGGCTCACTCCTGCACTAGGGTGCTTTAGAACAACCTTTCACCCCACTTCCTCCAGCAGAACCCTGATTTTGTTTGGAGGAATGTTCTCCACGGACCAGGGGCTGCGTGGAGCCTGGGCCAGGTCGTCTTCCGGGGCACCTGGGGCTCCCTAGAATCGTCTGATTCACTAAAGTGTGAGCTGAGCGAGGGCGTGGGTTTGGGGTCCCGGGCGGGCTGCGCCAGCTCCCCCTGGGAGGTTTGTGGGGTGTGGGCTCGGGGTGGGGGGTGCGTGACTGACACCCTGGAGAGAGGAGAGGCCACCCAGCGGCAGCACGGAGGGGGATTACTGGGGTCCTCCCACCACCCCCAGAAGTCTGAAGAGAGGGCGGGGCTTGAACTGGGGCTGGTGGCTAGTTCATAACAGAGTTTGGAGCAAGGACGCGCTCGGTGAGGGGCGCCGTACATGGGCGACAGAGCGGAACATCGTGGGCGGGGAGGTCTATGGGTGGCGGGCTTGGGGGCACTGTGGTGACGTCACCATGGGGGAGCCTCCATTTCCAGAATATAGCTGTGATGTAAGCCACTGCTGCTTCAATAAAAGAAAAGAATTTAAAAGTGAGCAATGTTCCATTCAAAATCACACGACTAGATACACATTAGACCTCTCTCTGATTCTCTTTAGTTTAATGTGATGCAGTTGAACAGGAAATTTACCACTTGAACAATTTCTAAGTATACATGAGAGGCCCCAGTCACAGTGCTGTGACCACTGCCACAATCTATTTCCAGAACTTTTAAAAATAGGTTTTATATTTTAGAGGATCTTAGGTTTACAGCAAAAGTGAGCTGAAAGTAGAGAGTACCAATGTATTCCCTGCCCCCCCCCAAATTCCCCCACTAGAGCACTTCTCCGCATTCTGTGCAGAGGTCTGTGCGCCTTGGGCAGTCGCTGCTCCCACTCCCCAGCGCCCCAGCCTGCTCACCTTTGTTCCTGAGCGGGAGCGGCCTCCCCTCCGGGTCTGGCTCTGCACGGCTGCCCACTCTTCCTCCCTGCAGCATGTGTCAACACGCCACCCCTTTTCGTGCTTCAGGGAGATTGCGGTGCGTGTGTGCCACACCCCCCTTTATTTAATCATTTGTCGGGCACTTGGGGTGTTTCTGCCTTTGGACTATTGTGAACAGCGCCAGGAAGAACACTGGCACACAAGTCTGTTTGCATTCCTGCTCTCAATTCTTCTGAATATTCAGCGAGAGAGGAATGGCTAGACGATGTGCTAACTCTGTGTTTAACTGTTTGAGGAACCACACGCTGCTTTGCACAACAGCTGCACTGATTCACATCCTACCAGTAACGTCTGCAGTCCTGTTTCTCCACACACAACCTCATCACACTTGGTATTCTCCGCTTTTTCGTAACAGTCATCCTAATGGGTGTGAAGCCGTTTCTCAGTGTGGTTTTGATTTGCTTCTTCCCAGTGGCCAGTGACCAGCGTAGTTTCAGGTCTTTACCCACCGTGTGTCTCCTTTGGAGACAGGCATGCTCGAGTCTGCCTGGTTATGCTTTGAGCCTTTTTGGCTTTCATCTTGTTGATTTTGTCACGTCATGGCTAGTCCTGGCGGGATAACCGATCCTCGCCCGGAACCCTCCCACCACCCCGGTCCCTGTGCTCTTCCCTCTCCTGCTGGCCTCAGGTGATGGGCAGCTGGAAAGTTTTGTCCTTCTGACCCCTGTTCGGTTTCTCTATACCCCACAGGTAAGTGAAACCATCGATATCGACCCGTCCCCGTCTGACTTAGCCTCAGCCCTTCACTCGCCCACTGTGCCACGACGGCACGCGCTTCTCTGTTGACGCTGAGCAGTGTCCTTCCTGACCCGCTCGGTGCTGGCGCACTGAGGTCGTCCCGACCTCGGCCAGTGTGCTCGGCGCCGCAAGAGCGCAGGTGAGAGGCTCTTTTTGATGAACGTTTCTGCGCCCGTTGGGTAGATTCCTGGGAGTGGAGGCTCTGGGTCACACACAGACCCACTTTCAGCGCTCGGGAACTCCAACAGCTGTCTGCGGCGGCTGGACCAGTGTGCACCCCCACGAGCAGTGTCGGCGGGACCCGCGCCAGCCCGGCAGCCTCGCCGTCTGGCCCTTCACCGGCGAGGTGCTAGCTTGTTCAGGCTTTGACTTGCGTTTCCCTGGGAGTAAGGGACGCTGGGTGTTTTCCAGGTGCCTCTTGTTCAGCTGCATCTGTGGGGAAGTGTGTTTTTAGCTTTTCTGCCCATTTCTGACAGACACACAGGCCAATGGAATCGAATGGAAAGCCCAGAAATAGAGCCACACATAGATGGTCGAGTAAGCTCGGACAAAGGAGCAGGGAGCAACTGGAGCAGGGAGCACTGGAGCAGGGAGCACCTCTCCAATAAATGGGGGGCTGCAAGCGGAAGGAACGAAGCTAGACTGTGACCTCACACCGCACACACACATTGACTCAAAGTGGGAAAAAGACTCGAATGGAAGACCTGAAGCCAGGAAATACTAGAAGAAACGGGCAAAACTCTATGGCAGACGCCTCAGACGCAGCTTCGAGGACTCGTCCCCAGGAGCGAGGACCACAAAGGAGATGAACAGCTGGGCTGCCTCCAACACGAAGATCTGTGCAGCGTGACAGCAACCCAAACGAAGACGCCCCGCCAAGGGGGGACAGGGGCTGGCCCTTACAGCTGACCCTTACAGCTGGCCAGCGTGACTGGCCCTTACAGCTGACCCTTACAGCTGGCCAGCGTGACTGGCCCTTACAGCTGGCCCTTACAGCTGGCCAGCGTGACTGGCCCTCACAGCTGGCCCTTACAGCTGGCCAGCGTGACTGGCCCTTACAGCTGGCCAGCGTGACTGGCCCT